GCTGGTCAGCTGAAATAAACCCGGCGTTCGGGTTGGACTCGGCCACGGTCATAGTTAAAGGGAGACAAAGATCCCCCGTATAGCCTGCAACAGACTGCTGGGGCAAGTGCTGCTATCGAGTAGCACATTTGAAGGCCGGCACGGGGGTGGGGTGGCCAGCACCACGGCCGGCCGCCTTCGTCTCCCTAGTGGCGATGTTTACACAGAAGGTAGCCACCCACACAGACACACTCTCCACCCATCATTTAAATACATTGTCACGCTTTTGGGCCAATATCCCCGGTCAATGCTTGCGAGGTAGGGTACAGGACAAAGCTGTGCTCCCTGCATGATGTAGCGACCTCTAGTGGATGTAGAAAGATATACAAGACGAGTATATATTTCTACATATACACGAGGGAGTGGCCAGCCCCACGCAGTTTTGATGACCCGACCCGACTGGACATCTGTGAAAAAGAGCTTCATAGCTCATCGGATTCCTCCTGCAGTCTGATTCTTAACCCCCTCCGCCCCCCTCCCACCCCGGCCCATGTGCATTTCATCTCGCAGTAGAACTGCGTAAAGCAGGGATAAAGTGTGGGTACGTCCCACTTCTTCCAAGACGGCTCAGCAAGGAAGAGTAGGCCAAGGATCAAGGGGGTCGGCAAACCAAAATTAACAAGATGAGCCAATTTTTTTTTCGAATTCGAAAATATAACCTCGATATTTAAAGGGCCGCAGTGCGTGCGAATACGTAACACACCACGTGGCTGTCCCACCGGAGCAGGCGGCTCATTCCTTTGATCCCTCCAGTCCAGTCGAAGCCCTTTCCGCCAGGAGCGGGGCCAGAAGCATATGTTACAAAGGGGCCCTAATTAAAAAAAAACCACAAATATCAAAACACATAAAAAATGTACTTGCATAGTAAAGTAATTGGATATTTTTCTTTACTATACAGCCAGATAAAAGTCGAAGGCGGTATAATACTATAGTAATAGAGCAAGTGCAGAATTACTGAACCGGAATTGATAGCTTGAAAGCATTTAGCGCGGGGCGCTTGAAAGTGAGGCACACGTAGCTACACGTGTAGCGACTTGTGCTACTAGGATAATCCGGCACTGCTGGGGGGGGGTGTTTTTGTTCTGTTGTTCCCCATGTTTGCGTTGCCGATGACCCCCTCAACGCTGAAGCCCGGGTTTAAGCGCTCCTCCGCGAGCCGCTCGCTTCGTGTTGCACAATGCGGGATGCGCCGAATGGGAATCCCCGTAGAGCCTGGCTCGTCTGCCAAAGGTCAGCAAAACAACGTTTGCACACGGGGACTTTTCCGCTCGAGGAGTTGAGAAGTCACTGATTTTGTGCCTAATGTGGTTTCTCGCTCAAATGAGCGTTGATGGATTGGTGGTCGTTTACTATTCACAGCACTGAACCAGCGATGGAAATTTCACGTTCCTATGGCGGGGGGGGGGGGGGGGTATATCAGTAGCAGTAGGATACCACCGTTGACTTCCGCACAATGTGGTGCTTATTTTATCGACTCTATGTGGATGATGGTGGGCTGAGTGAGTCGCTCGCTTTACCGCTGAACCACCCGGCCTTTTGTGTCCGAGCCACACGTGGAGTGCTTTGTTTGGTGCGGGTTACATGCTAATGCTAACCATTGCACGATCCACAAACAGACTTTTTAAATTATATGTGTATTAATGTTTTTGTTTACTTTTACGAAGTAAGGACCACTGAGCTATATAGCTCTTTTCAGAAGCGACCTGACCACAAATGATAGTTCAACAAAGTGGACATTCATTGCAGCAAAATACTGTAAACGTAATAGTGGAGGGGAAAACAGGAGGACCCGGAGAAAAATCCTCGAAACCACGGGGAGAGAGAGAGAGACACGCAAACTCCAAATAGGCGGGGTTTTACCCACGACCTCCTGCACACCAGGCGAGGGAGTTAACATCGCACTCCCGCGGCACCCAAAAATCTGTCCCACTCTGGAGCTTGAGAGTGCATCGGCCCTAACAACAGTCACTCATCACCCTCGCCTCCGCGCTTGCTTAACTCAAAGCGAGGAATCAACGAGAGGTCTCACATTCGCCTTCCCAGCGCTCTCTCTCTCTCTCGCCCTTTCAAAGCGACAGTAATTACCGTCGTTTATTAACTGCGGGGACAATGGCCTGGCCTCTCTCCCGAATCCTCTCCGAGCCTCGGCCCCCGCATCACGAGAACTCTGGGCCACAGCCGCCACCACCGCCACCGCCTTTCATCTGCTGCTGTGAGTCCCAACATCCCCGCGGGATCTCCTCTCTTTAATTACGCTGCCCCCTTGAGAGCGGGGTCCTGACCCCGCCACAAAGGGGGGGGGGGGGGCTCAGCCCCGACCCCCCCTCTCTCACCCCTCCTCACAGTTGTGGCGGTGGTGATGGCCTCTAGCGTGACGTGTGAGCGGTCACCGGGGGAACACTGCTCTTGGGCACGCGTTTGAAATGAATCCTCGTATCTCACCTGGGCACAAACGTAGGATGGACAAAGACAGTTTTTAATTTCATTTATTTGGTATAGCCTTGTGAGCCGTTCGGCTCTTGAATCGGGTGCAACCGCAACAAACAAAAAAACGAAAACATGAACAAGAACTCATCTTAAAGTGACTATGTGACTATGTGCAAACAGAAAATCTAAGCAAAGACAGCAAAATATTGCAGAAAAAGCACCGTACACCAACGCTGTGTGCAAAAATCCCAGTGGACAATTAAAATTGTGTTTGTTGTTCGGAAAAATGCAAGGAACTGGAGAGAGAGGAAGACGTTGCCATTCCTGTCAACCCACACGGTTTACCCGTATTTTTGTAAAGGGAAATTGAGTTTTCAGGTCCATACGGCGTACAGCCGTTTCAATACGGGCAACATTTTTTGTCAATTTGTTTGTGTTTCTCCCTTGTGATGGGACTTTGTAGAATGAACGTTGAGATTTATAAGGTCACGGGGTGACCACTAAGGTCTGAGTTGGTCTGTAATAAGGTAGAGCACTGATAAGGGGTTGACAGGTATGACTTTACAGATAATGGCTTGTCAACGACATGAGAGATTGGTGTCAGAAAAATGTGGCACTATTTGAGCACATTGGCACAAGACGGAGAGGAAAGTGGAAACAAGTGACGACATCTGCAGTGGACACATACGGGCTATCTGCCCAATGGATCGTGGTGATAATGATGATGATCTCACCTGGATGGTCCCTCGAGACAGACAAGAGGAAATGTGATGCTCTCCTACCCTCTGTTCCCGTGCCTTCACCAATCCGCATGCAACTCACCATTATCACAATGTATACCTCCAGATTTTTCGCGGACTTTTTAAGTTGGGGGCTGCGTGGCCGCGGGTTGGCCCGAGTTGATGGCGGGGTGGGCGCAGAGAAATCCGATGAGCTATGAAGCTCTTTTCCACAGATGTCCAGCACTCGACTCGGAGCTGGCACGAGATGCTTTAATTTCGTTTTCACTCGCGCGCTATCCGGTGCCCAGCTGCGACCCGTCAGCCTTTTCTGCAAATTTTCCAAATTCCACCATCTGGCCCGTCGTTTTAACGGTGCTTTGTTGCCAAAGGCCATACATCATCTCTGACTTGACATTCAGGGTGCGTAAAGAAAAATAGAAAAAAATTAACACCCCGTCTGTTTATAGCAGGATCTGCCCAGGTGAGGAGAGTGAACAAAGTTGGATAATATTTGTAACCGGTACAGAGATGTGTGTTTTTTTATGCAGCGGTGGTGCTGGTGTTAGCGCGCCACGAGACGAACCCGGCGACCCGAGTTCGATACCAGCTCCTGACCAATAACAGCCCCGGGGAGACAAAGGCGGCCGGGCATGGTGCTGGCCACCCACCCCCTCGTGTGCCGTGCCGGCCTTCATAGACGCTCGCTAACAGCACTTGCCTCATCAGTCTGTTACAGCAGACTTCTTTGCACGTTATAGATTGTGTGTAAGATTTGATCTTGTTTTATAACGTCCTCAAAGTGGGTTCTACAATAAATAAAAAAAACACAGCTTGTTCAACGAACAAGGCCGCGACTCAAATAAAATATTAGTTTTATTTTACCAGGTTAGGCTCACTGAGCTTTATAGATCTTTTTCAGAAGCGACCTGGCCACAAATGATAGCCCAACGAAGTGACTTAGCAGGTGGACATTTATAGCAGCAAAATTCTCAAAACGCGTGATGTTCATTCTAAATGTGGAGGGAGAAACCGGAGGACCCGGAGAAAAATCCACGCGACCACAGGAAGAGAGAGAGAGAGACACGCAAAATCCAAATATACAGCAGCAGGCGTCAGGGTCGGGATCGGGATCGAACCCACGACCTCCTGCGTACCAGGCGAGGGAGTTACCATCTCCTAGCCACCGTGATGATGAAAGAGAGAGAGAGACACGCAAACTCCAAATATACAGCAGCAGGCTTCAGGGTCGGGATCGAACCCACGACCTCCTGTAGACCAGGCGAGGTAGTTAACATCTCACCACCTGGACGGGGGCTGGGTCAAGCACATTCGGTCCCGGTTGGGTGAGATGGAGTGCCCAGCAGGACTTGTCAACCCACACGGTTTCTTATCCCGTATTCTTGTACAGGGAAATTAAGCTTTCATGTCCATATTACGGCGTACAGCCGTTTCAATACGGGCGAAAAAAATGTTTGTCTCTTTATTTGTGTGTCTCCCTTGTGATGGGACTCTGTAGGGTGAACGTTGAGATGTATAAGGGCCACGGGGTGACCACCAAGGTCTGAATTTGTCTGTAATAAGGGAACACTGATAAGGGGTTGACAGGTATGCACCACCATCTAACGACGCGACGTACAGGCGGGGGCGGTTGTGCTTTGTCTGGTTCTGAGTGGCTGTCTGTGCCTTGTTCTAACACAGTTCCAGACTCGCAGCAGACGAATTGCTCCGCTCGTGTTCGCGGTGGGAGGGGGGGCGGTAGGGGAGGGGAGGGGAGGGGCCGGGCTGGGGTAGTCACGTGGCGCGCGGGCACGGGGGGGGGGGTGTGGCCTCGCGTCACGTGACGCGGTAGTGTTTTGGCGCCAAAAAACAAGTTGAAAACCGCGGGGCCCAACGACAACAACATGTGAGTGTGACACCAGGGTCTCTGTACCCCCTCTATCCCCTCACGGGGCCCCTCTACCCCCTCAACCCCCTCACGGGGATCCTCTACCCCCCTCACGGCGATCTTTTATCATGCCAACTTTTCACAGTAGGAGCGAGGCTGCTGCTGCTGCTTGGTGTCATCCCGATGTTAACACTTTGGCCGGCACTTTCCAGCATTGGGATGTTTGTCATTGCATGGGGAGGAGGGAAGGAGGCAGCGGGGTTGGCTACGGGAGGGGATCCCATGGGGAACCCGGGGGGACCAGGAGGGGACCTACGGACGACGAGGGGGAGAACGGAGCGGCGGCCCCCCGGGGTCGGTAATCGAACCCTTTGATCGGAGCGAGGCATCCACCGGCCCCACGTTGCCTTTACACAATTGCGGTTGACCGATGCGATTTTCTAAACATTCTACATGGGGGTTTAAAAATATATTTATATGACGTTCGTCCTTATTTGGAGTCGAGTCTTTGCTTAATAGGAGAAAAAATAACTAAACATGAAACATGTCACTGCCTCCTGTGACCACTTGTCCTGGTCTCAACATTTCAATGCCGCGGGCGAGAATCAAAACCCCACAACGATTCTGGCGAAGTCTCCTGGCGAGATGTTTGCGCCTTGTGCCGCGACTCGAGGTTGCACCGGGGGCGTGACGTGGTTGTTGTTGTTTGTGGTTGTTGTTGTTTGTGGTTGTGAATCCTGTGTGGTTGTGAATCCTGTGTGGGTGTGCGTGCGAGTCCAGGTCGGCCTTGGATGGCGACGCGGCGAGGTCGCTGCAGGATGTGAGCGATCGCCTGGCACGGGTGGCGCTTGGATGTCCTTTGGGCACCCACGACGAGGCTGTGACGTTGGGCGAGGAGGAGGGTGCCCTCCTGAGGGCGGTCAGGTGATTAAAAAATAACTATCAAACTTAAAGCTTTTTATTTTACCAGGTATGCCCCCCCTCCTGAGCTATGTAGCGCCTTTCAGAAGCGACATGGCCATCGCAAACGATAGCTCAACGAAGTGGCTTATCACGTGGAAATTTAGAGCTGCCAAGTACTCTAACCCAGGGGTGGGGAACCTTTTTTCTGCCAAGGGCCATTTGGATATTTATAACATCATTCGCGGGCCATACAAAATTATCAACTTAAAAATTTGCCAGTTATATTTGGTCAAACATTTAATTAACTCACCCCTAATGTGATGGCTGGAACTGCTTCTCTTTGGCGAGGCGTGTGATGTTAGCTGGTATTGATGATGTTGCTACTCGCAACTGCTTTTCCAGGTTTGCTCCTAGATTTATTGAATTTCGAGTCCCGCCTGCGGTTGCCTTGGCAGGGCCAGACCAAATGATTTTGCGGGCTTCATAAGGCCCGCGGGCCAGACGTTCCCCACTCCTGTTCTAAACGCATGTTTCTAAATGTGAAGGGGAAAAACCGGAGAACCCGGAGAAAAATCCACACGACCACGGGGAGAGACGCACAAACTTCAAATATACAGCAGGCGTCAGGGTCGGGATTGAACCCACAACCTCCTGCATACTAGGCGAGATGGTTAACATCTCGCCAGCATAGTCGACATCCATGTGCCTGCGGGCTCAGGGTCAGGCTTCAGACAACCATTGCTCCATAGTGTTCTTCACTGATTTTCAGAGGGGGCGCAACTTTCGCCGATAAGACATCAGTGTGAGGGCCGCCACACATTAAAACCATTGGGGTTTGACATCCATGATGGGGTGCGTCAGGGGCCGCACTAAAGACCACCGTGGGCTGCCAGTGGCCCACGCGGGCCTTGCAATGAAGAACATTGCTTTAAAACCTTGGCCGGTCCCAATCCATAGCCAGACGGGAGTTTGGGACAACGCCTGAGCCGGGGCTCCCGGGTTTGTGTTCAGCGTAACAAGGGGCAACCTCTCAATTGGAAGTGGAGCAGGTGGGTTGTGATGTTGCTGCTTGGCTCGAATAGAACATGAACGCTGGTAGCAAAGGTTGTACAGTGCAAATACCCACGTCAGCACTGAGCTTACGAGATTCTGGCTTTGCATTTGAACCTTATGGTGGGACCCCAGGGTCCCATAAGCCCCCGGCTCTCGCGTCAGCTGGGGCTGACATCTTCCCCCCCATCCCGATGCCAGGGGGGAAATAGGTGAGGTTTAAGACTGTGGCTTGTCTACCTGCTATGGTTTGCATTGGCTTATGAGTCCTGACCTACCCAGAAGACCGAGCTGTTGAAGGAGGGTGTTCCAGCTCTCTAAGAGAAAGCAGTGGTCCTGTTCTCACCATCTAACCGTCTGCAATAACCCACGCTCCCATCATCGAAAAAAACCGAAATGCTGCTCTGAAATGTCTGGATTCAGCCATGGAACAGGATCCTCATTCAAAAGAGGATGTCATCACATCTTGTGGCCTTGTGTCCATCACCTCCATCTATTTTTGGTTATTGCCAGTGTTAGTTTAATCTTTATGTTAATTTAAGTTTCGGTCAATACATTTTGATTGTTTTCTGTAAAAATAAAATCGCATGAATTAAGTAACTGCACAAATGGCTCCGCTTAATTTTTTGAGGAATTTGTTTTTTAAATATATCTTTGTAAATTATTACAATCTTGGATGTTTGTTGTTTCAGTTTCTGCGAGGAATTGCAGCACCAGAGCCAGGAGCTGCATGCTGTAGGCGCAGCGTGTACGTAGCATGCCCCATCACTCTTCTCACCCATCACTGTCTCACCCGTCACTTTCACTCGCCGCTGCCTCACCCACCACTGCCTTGCCCGCACTGTCTCACCCACATTGTCTTCCGCCACGGTCTCACCAACACGGTCTCACCCGCACACTCTCATCCACACTGCCTAACCTGCACTGCCTAACCCGCACTGCCTAACCCACTGTTGTTTCACCCGCACTGTCGTCCGTCACTGTCACCAACACTGTCTTACCCCCATTGTCTTTTTCTTTGCAGACATCAAGGATAAGGAACAGGATATTTCCCCAAATGCCCTTCATAGAGAGTAAGATCCCATCAGTCCTCACAAATGCCTTTGTTAAATGCACTTTGTGCTTTATAGGACATTATTTTGTGCCCATAATTTAGGTCCATCTGCTGACCCCAACCCAGGAACCTTTCTCTACTGCAGTGAACCAGTTTTGGTGGTGAGACAGGGCCCAGTCGAAGCACGTTTTCTGCTTGTTACTGAGGTTCACGGTTCGAATCCACCGGCTGCCCTGATTTATTACTGCGGCTCTGCTTTAAAGTGGTCATTAAATAGTCTTCAATATCAAGGTCCAAAGTTTCCAAAATTTGAAATTGTAATTATTCATCGCTGCCTATTAGCACACTAATACCCCAGGTCACACTTGCAAATGAGACTGTTATGTTCTCTTGGGTTCTTACCCGGTTTTACAAAATTTAACCTAAAACTAGAGTTATACTTTTCACTCTGTCTAGATTTTGTCTAACATGTTGCCGCCCAGTTCATTCACCTCGAAGACCTCAAGTTTTCGGACAAGGAAGCACAAACTTGTCTTTATTGGCACAACTATGTTGTTAGGTTGACACAATGTACTGTGCATGATGTATTATCACCTACACACAAAGCTGCAACCACCTTGTGGTTTAAAGAAATAAAATTAAATTCATTTGTGGCTTTGTTCTTTACAGGATTCTGGACTTGCATAAAACATTGGAGAAATCATCTGGATTCACCTCCAACAAGGAACTCGTGATTAACAAGTAAAGTGCCCTGTTCCATTGTCAATGTTCAGTATTCTGTCAAGCGTTCATCAAATAGTTTTTCTAATACATTGGGTGCAATTTTACTATGTACTGAATGCTGCTTACAATACAGTTTGGATGTATTAAGTGCTTGTACAATATTGTACAACAGCATCCCATTGTGCTGTATAAGGAAGATGTTCGTTATGAGAATATGGGGAGGGGGTAGGGTTAGGTGGGGTGTAGGGTGGCACACTTAACACAAGTGCCTTGCAGTAAGAAGAGGCCTCGGTTAGGTGCCTTGCTGTGTGCAGTTTCTATGTTATCCCCCTGTTCTGCATGTGATTCCTCCAGGTTCTCAGATTTCCTCCCATAGCTAAAAATCCACACACTGTAACTGGTATTGACCAAACTTCCCAATGTTGAAAAACTATCTGCAAATGAAATGGATTATGCACAGCAATCATCGCCCCCTCCTGAGAAAATATGGCAATACCCTCATGAAAAATGCAATTGGGACTGATTTGGATTCCAACTGCATCCGCCATAGTAAGCAGATGGAATTTGTCCGATGGTTGCTGCAACAAAAAGTGTTAGGTTATAAATTTAAACGAATAAATGTTCGTAAATCCGTGTGCAAAATGCTATTGCTGCAGTAAGTTCTAATGTAATTTTGTCAATTCCTTTTGGTTCGTGTGCTCCAGCTTGCTTACCAACAGGGCACTTATCCAGACAATGACGGAGAACAGCAGTGAAAAGACAGAGTATGTGAAAACAATACATTTCTTTAATATGTGCATTTTATGACGAAACTATTTTTATTGAATATATTCAATCCGTTCTCACTACATACTAATACATTGCGGATTTTATTAATATAAACTTCTGCGTGATATTTCTGTGTGCGCGCAGGGCAATTTTAGCACAGCTCTTTCACAAAACCTCACTGAGTCAGCAGATTATTGCAGCTGTAGAGGCAAGTATATTAGTCAAGAGCACACATTTAATATCGCTTCTACACAGTGCGTACATGTATTGTAAAATGTATGTGCTGTATTGTGCACAACACGTGCATGTTATGTTATCGACTTCCTCGTAGTCTTCTACAGTTTCTGTGTAATGCAGAGTTTGTGCGTCATGTTGTATAACTTGTTTGATGAACGTAAAATCGTACAATGAGCATTGGTATAAATGTATACATCCGACATTCCAGTTCTGCTGCAGTCGATGATATTGTGTCCTGTTTTACAGAAAAAGAATAAGCTCCTTCAGGAGCTCCTAGAGACCCAAAGCGAGGTACTAGGTGAGTGACTGTCGGCAAGGAGAAGTAACAATGCAGGACAAAGCGTTTCCACACGACCGTCCCCAGACGTAATATTGGTGCATTATTCTTTAGGAGTTTAAAGCTGTCTGGCAATGGAGTTTTGCTTAACAATGTTAGCAGCTTCCAGGTCCTCAAAGTGCAGTATAACGCATCATTCTTGACAACACAGTTGTGCTGCATGAGACCGAAACTCTATAATTAAGGTTTTCTTGATTAGATCGCGTAAATATAAATGTCGTTAAACCCGCCACCACCCGACGCAGCCAATTAGTAATGCTTGTCACGTAAACAAAACGTGCCAATTAGTTACTTTAGCAAGCCGGTGTATTGGAGGGTAAACCCACAACATTTACAATTCGAGTACGGTGTTTCGCTGGTGATCACAACCAGCATCATCAGGCGACAGCGAGAATTATGAAGAGATCCTCCTGATTCAGTCTTAAATACAACACATTTATATTTATGCGATCTAACCCAAAAAAACTACTTTATTATGGATAACTAGTGTATTTGCCCATCATGATAAGTTTCACGAATCACCTGACGCGTGCCATCGCATAATCCTTTTTTGGGGTTGAGATTTAGAATCGGCATAACAATGGTTCCCTTTTTCAAAACCAATTCATGAGGCATGCATTCCAAATGGTGTTAGCGTGCTGCAAGAAATTCTACTGGATAATAAATTGACTTCACTCGGATCCACGTAGCCTACCCAGCGCTACACGGCGTGTCGAGCGTTAGGTACAGATCACCAACAACTACATGGAAATTTATATTCTTGGTTCTTTCGGTAAAGTCACGTAGAAGGGAAATAATACAAATTAAAAAAATTCTCACGAATTTTTTGTGAAAACCACAGCAAGAAAATTTTAAAAGTGGTCTCGGAAGCCTACATCTTAAACCGACTGAAACTCTAACATGTGTCTGCCCACAGCCATGAAGGAACAGAACCAGGCTTTGCTGAAGGAGGTGAAGGAGGTGATTGGGGCCCAAGTGAGTCACAGCCAACAGCCGCAGACAAAGCAGCAACTGGCCGGGAGCCACAAATTGACCATTGCCAACAATCGTGTCACCATTCTCCGCAACGTGTTGCAGGTGAGAAGGGGCCTCATTGTACCCCAGTGTCACCCTAAGCTCTCTACTGCTATGCGGTGAGTTTATTAGAATTTGTGCAACAGGCCGCTCGTTTTTTTAAGACGGTGGCACAAGACTGAAAGTCTTCTCGGGACAGGTGGGTTCTTATACCAGAGTTTGTGTTCACTCAGGCATCTAAGTCAACTAAACCATGCATTCGCCTTTTTGAGTTATATATTGGCTGAATTGCTACTCTAATACAAAAACAGGTGGATTAGATCATTAGAGAACACTCATTTTGACTTAAATTAGGCTGCTTGGGCAGGACAATTCCATAGAAAGGACGACGACCGATGGTCAAGACTAACAACAGGCAGCCAAAGAAAAATTACCAGTGTGTTGATGGATCAATGAGATCAGCTTGTGCATGGGAACGATGGATTGTTGCTTCGTAAGACCACGGAGAGATTGGCGACAACTTGGGAAGCTCTTAATCCAGTAGTTCATGTAAAGAATAGATGTCTCACTTGTTGAATCTAATCAAGTTGTTTCTTGTTGTTGCAGGCTCTTATACAAAGCAGTGGTATCAATTGGGCTGCAGATCCTAACCTACTTGGTTTTGTCCTGCAAATGGGCAAAGACAAGAAGTTTTAACCGTGTTAAAATACTAAGTGATTTTTGCTAAGTCTCTAAAACATCTACATTTGTAGTTTTATTTGCACAAGTACATTTTTAATTTTTGTGTTTTTTCTTCTGTAATATAAGCAGCAATGTTATTAATTCCTTATCCATCTAAAAAGTGAAATAAAAACATACTCTTGAACGAGATTTATTTTTGTTTGTTTTATTTTGCGCCTAATTGGCTTTGCCCTGCCTACTTGCGTTGACGTGCAACTTGCAATGCACCATTGTGTGTGATTGTATATCCTTGCTGAATCGGAGTCACCTGGCAATCTTCTAGGGTTTGTCCACCAGAATAATATAAATCTCATCTCTAATTCCACCATGTTAGCTCCTCCATGCCAGTTCTTCGATTCCTTTCTTATAATAAAGGTACTCAAATGTATGTATTTCGATATATGTCCGAATTAGTAGATCATGACAATGCACTTTTACATCGAAAACAAAATGTGTCAATATCGCTGGGGTTGGCGGTGCTCGGTTGTGATGGGAGCCCGCTGTGCACTCGACGCGGCAAAGCTCAGCCCTGCGGTCTCAGTGTGGACTCATCAACCTTCGCTTGTATAAATCGTTCGTTACAACGTTACAATCATCTACCAGAGGTGCAGCTCGATATTTTGGCGCCTAGGGAAAGGTGCCATCCTGGTGCCCCCCCCCAAACTCGTAACTGAACCAAACACCGCCCCACCAAATAATTTAACCACCAACCGCCACTGCTTCGCTTTCAGAATTGCAGATGCATCATTATCCGGATGTTGTGCCCATCTTGCTACAGCACTCGTCTAATCACACATGCTATCGGTTAGGACATCTACAAATAACGAAACATCTACTTCCACAGGCATCAACGTCTACAACCATCGTATAAGCAGCGTCAGTCTACTGTGGCACAATAGATGAGCAAATGCCTCATATATCCTCTCCACATTAAAAACAATTTTTAAGTATTTCATATGCAACCCATTAGCCTCACGGGCCTTATAGCAGTGCATACCTTCAGCATTGATTCAAGCAAGTCTGACTGCTGATGAGACACTGTAGGCCGAAACCGGTCCAGTCTGCTTGTTAAAATTTACATTGCTGGCACTCAGAGCCTGTGTACGACTGATGGGGTTGTGTAACTTATTTTCTTAATGTCAAGATGTGAATGATACATTCTCTTGATGTATTACTCCATGACGCTCATGATTATGTACGATGGTTACAAAAAAGCAAATCTCACAACCCGTTACAACCCCTGTAGCGTGACCTTGTTTAAATTGAGGGCATGACAATGTTCTTAACCACTGGTTTAAAGGTTTACAGCGGTTTCTTAACCGAGGGTGCACGTACCCCTTTGGGGTGCGAGATGCCCTCTCCGGGAACTAAAAGCGGTTGCAGGCTGCAGTAAATGTTACTTAAACCAACGTTCATTGTCGAGCTGAATCGGTAACGGCGCAATTTCTGATTTTGTTCTGACCCAGTGCCCCTGCTGGACATCTGTAAAAAGAGCGTCTTCCTCAAGTATATAAATATTCTTGTGTTTGCCCGTCGGTCGCGTATTCTGCTTCCCTCTCACCAACCCAACCGCCGGGGTACAAAGGAACGGGGCTTGTGACTCGCCCCACCCCCCATCCGTCTCATTCTCTACAAATCTGTGCGCATCTGCGTCCAGCGCGTTCGGGTCCTGCCACAAACCGCGCTGCTTGCGTTGTGGCTCGTGTGCGGAGTGACCGGACGCTTTGATGGGCGAGGAGGGGGGGGAGGAGGAGAGGGGGTCGGATGGGCCTGGCGGAGGGCGGCAGTGGCGCCGGCAGTGGCGGCCGCTGCCAGAGCGCGGCGTGGCGCGCACGTGTTCAAGCGGCCGGGGGTCAGGGGACCGCGGCAAATCGACCCTGTGCTGGAGCTCATTGTTCAAGCTATTACGCCTAATCGGTAACCCCACGAGACAACACAATATAGCAGCACAGCTGTCAACCCCAACACGGGTTACAGACTCTGTGTTCTTCTTGTACAGGGAGATTGAGTGGTCAGGTCAAAAACAAATGTCTGTGTTTCACCCTTGTGATGGGACTTTGTAGGATGAACGTTGAGATGTATAATGGGCACGTGGTGACCAATACTGGTCTGAGTTGGTCTGTAATAAGGTAGGGCACTGATAAGGGGTTGATAGGTATGAATATATCGGTAAATAAATGGGTCACCATATACTGTGTGTGGCTATGTGTGTCTCGCCACACAAGCCACGTGTTTCACTTGCTTTTTTAAAACTGAGAAACGATGGCAGCTTCGGGGGGAGAAGAAATGGGGCTTGTCACAGCTGAAACGATGGCACAGGTTCATTAAATCCAGCGCTTCCTATGCTATAAACTTTGTATTTGATTGTAACAGGTAAGGCCCACTGAGCAAAATGTCGCAATTTTTCAGCGGCGACCTGGCTATCACAAATGATAGCTCAACGAAGTGGAAATTTATAGTAGCAGCCAAATATTCTTAAACGCGTGATGTTGATTCTAAATGTGAAGGGAAAAACCAGAGGACCCGGAGAAAAATCCACGCGACCACAATGAGAGCGAGAGACACGCAAACTCCAAATATGCAGCAGCAGGCGTTCAGGGTTGGGATCAAACCCACGACCTCCTGTAGGCCAGGCGAGGGAATTAACATATCCTAGCCACCGTGATGATGACACAGAGAGACACGTAAACTCCAAATATGCAGCAGCAGGCGCTCAGGGTTGGGATCAAACCCACGACCTCCTGTAGACCAGGCGAGGGAATTAACATCTCCTAGTCACCGTGATGATGACAGAGAGAGACACGCAAACTCCAAATATACAGCAGCAGGCGTTCAGGGTTGGGATCAAACCCACGACCTCCTGTATATCAGGCGAGGGAATTAACATCTCCTAATCACCGCTGTCCACCCAGCAGTAGAGATGGGATTCTCCACAGGTCGTGTGCAGTGGGGTAAAGTGTGGGCACCTCTTCACCTCTTCCAACACGTCTGGCCGGTGTGGAAGAGTAGGCCAAATACCATCTAGAGCTCCGTCTCGTGGAGGCCCCTCCGCCACCAGTGGTGCGAGAGAAACATTGCAGGGCTGTGACTGGAGGGAAAACGAACCGTGCGGTGACTTGAGGTCGCCGTGCCGTTTGTCTGTCCGCGCGTGCCAACACGTGAACTCATTAGGAACGTTCCAACTGGAAGTGGTTACCGGTTTATGAAAAACGGTTACCGTTTGTCGTTTAACAATCCCGATAGTGCACTCAATATAGACCAAAGACAATTCGCTCACAATCACACATCTGTCCGTCCCTCCACGCCACGAAAAATAAAGTGCTGTATTTTTTTGACACATCCTATCAGCCAGACGGCCTTCCTTCTTTGAGTGTAGAATTGCAGGTGTTTGTCTGTGGTGTACATCAATCAGATTTAAAATAATGCCATATATTATCAGAGTTTGTTAACGCGAACTTGGTTCCTTGCAAAAGGTTTCTACTTGCTGTTTGAACATCTAAACACCGCCCGTTTTATTGCCAGAAAGGGTAAAAAAATATTCCTATTTTTTTCATACCTTGACACTGGCCAAAAAAAGGCCCCATATTTTTGAGTTTATTTTTGTTTGCATGTTCACAAGCACCGTGCGTGCTTATTCAGTACTCGATTCCTTGCGAAAGCTTTCTATTTGGTATTTTATTGCCATAAATCGTCAAAACCTATTCCCATTCATTTTTAATCCACCACCACCACCACTTGGACCACTCCCGCCGGGAATTTTGCGCCGTTCGCTGCCCCGCCGAGTCCGCGCCGCCGAGCAAATCGCCGCGGTCCCTGGCCTCGCGCCGTTGAAGCGTGGAGCGCGGGACACGAGAATTGCGAGGCGCGAGATCGGGAAGGTGTCGGCGAGGTTCAGGAGGGATCAGGAGGTACCAGGAGGAACCAGGAGGAGGAACCAGGAGGGAGCAGGGAACCCAGGACCAGTCTCCGGGGACTCTAGTCGGAGAGCAGCGGCCCACAGCTCCCCCCCGGCCTGGTGGCGAGGGCGCCGCGTCTCCTCCTCCTCAACCTTCCCGTGGGCCGCGCGGCCATGGACATGAAGAAGATGATCACGGAGATGCGCGGGAAAGCGCCGGCAGAGGTGAGCAGCGCTCTCCTCACCTCACCCAACAACAATCCACCTCGCTCACACAGCCCTCACCCAGCCCCACACGCAGCCCCACACACACACCCAGCCCCACACACACACACTCACCCAGCCCCTCACCCACACACTCACCCAGCCCCTCACCCACACACTCACCCAGCCCCACACACACACACGACTCACCAAGCCCTCGGCTTACCCAGCACTCACCCCAAACTCACCCAATACCCATCCAACATCCACCTCGCTCACACAGCCCTCACCCAGCTCCTCACCCCACACACACACAGCTCACTCACCCAGCTCCTGCCTCAGCTCACCCAACACTCACCTAAGCTCACTCATCACTCGCCTAAACTCAACCTATCACTCACCAACTCCCTTACCACTCCCCTATCACCTCACTACCCCACTCAAAGCTCACCTAAACTCGCCCAACAACCGACCAATCACTCAAATCCACTCTATTCTCTTCACCCACTAAACACTCAGCGAAACTCACAAGACAAAGATCCCCCGTGTAGCCTGCAACAGACTGTGGGGGCAAGTGCTGAGCGAGTAAAAAGCTATGAAGGCTATCGGCACTGTGGCACACGAGGGGGTGGGTGGCCAGCACCACGCCCGACCGCCTTTGTCTCCCCAGGGGCGATGTTGACCACACACCGCACCGGTTACTCATTTGAGGCTGAGTTGACCTAAGGTAGGCCCAGGACCGGTTCAGATAATCGTCATATGTCTTGGCCGTGAGCGGGAATCGAATATATAGTTTGAACACGGTTATTATACTATGAGACCTCCTTTACCAGTGGCAAAATATAGTAATAGGTTTTTACCCTTTCAACTGGTACAAAAACTGACACCTTTATTCAAGGGATCATGTTTCCAACACCAATGGAGACTGGGCTCTAAGAAAAGCTGTATCGGGTGTGGACCAATCAACTTCAAGGACAGTGCATATCATGATCAGAGTTGTTTCTTTTTGTTTGCATTCTGACTGCTTGCGTTGTGGTTATTGTAAACATGATCTGACTGTTAGTAGGGGGGGAGGGTTCTGCGATGTTCCTGCATTGTGTGAATCTCAATTTTGAGTATCGACCACGTGGCAACATCGCCCGCTACTGTGGAAACCTGTAGACTCAAGAGTGAGGCATTCCTGGGTAAACGAGCATAATTCAAACAACTAATAAATAAAAACTTATTTTGTTGATGTACAGGGACTCTTCGACTTACGAACATTCGACTTACGAACTTTCAGAGATACGAACAAACCTGGTCCTTATGTCCAGTTGCCTGTTCGCGCCCAGAGTCGTAAGTTCAGCTGCTGCTGACCAATTCCGTAATTTTTGTATTGTTTTTATTACACCTCAACATGAGGCCGGTACAAAACACCCATCACTGAGCAGAAGGGGGAGCGAAGAATCTACGCGAACATCTGCCCGACGTTGGCACCACGGCCCAGTGAAGGGGGAAAAATTGGACTCCCTTCCCCACCCAAGTTGGGGACTGCGTGCGGTGGGGATGTATGAACGTCTATACGGCGCAGGGGAAAGGGGTTAAGGGCTATCAATCATTCCCCATTCATTCAATCCATTCATCGTCATTGACTGTGATCAATTTCACTTGGGCCGAATTCACGCATCGTCACAGATTCGCCCACATTGCTTCCCCTCATCTATTTCATTCAACTCATCTCCATTACATTCGTACGTTCTGTTCTTGATTCTCTGTAAAGCGCCTTGCTTCAGGCACTATATAAATTACGGGCGCCACCGCCACCCCCGCTGCCCACAGGTGAAGGAGTTGGTGCTGGACAACTGTGGCTGCCGCGAGGGCAAGGTGGATGGCCTCACGGAGGAGTTTGAGGGCCTGGAGCTGCTCAGCCTCATCAACACCGGCCTCACCGCACTCTCCAGCCTGCCCAAGCTCCTCAAACTCAAGAAGGTAATCGCGGAGGAGCGGGGCGACAGGCACGGAGATAGATAGGGATAGGTAATGTTCATCAATAGCAACACGATCCTAGGTAGCAACCCCAGCATCCTAGACGGCAACACTGTTGTTAAAGTCAAGGGGGCCCCAACTGATAGCTTTAGCCACCAGGGGGGCGGGGGGGGTGGGCAAGGCACACCCTTCCCCCACGCTCGTTATGCCACTAAGCAGGCAGAGGCAATGCTTGTGTGGGGTAGCCTCTGTGCCGCTGGGCGCAAGGCGGGTTGGCCGGTGTCACTGCCTCGCGATTCTCCGCCGGTGCTGACCGCTGCGCACCCCTCGGCAGCTGGAGCTCGGTGGGAATAAGATCACGGACGGCTTGGAGGCGCTGGTGGAGAAGACGCCCAACCTCACGTACCTGAGCCTCACCGGTAACAAGATCAAGGATCTGAGCAGCCTGGAGCCGCTGGTGAGCGCCACCAATCGCTACACAGGCTTCGACTGTTTCGGCTGATTCAAAAAAAAAAAGTACCGTTTAAAATGATTCATGACCACACGTCGCTTCCCGTCGGCCCGCACAGAAAAAGCTGGAGAAGCTGAAGAGCTTGGACCTGTTCAACTGCGAGGTGGTGAACCAGCCCAACTACCGCGAGGAGCTCTTCCGCCTGCTGCCTGCCCTCTCCTACCTGGACGGCTTCGACCGCGACAACCAGGAGGCCTCCGAGTCGGAGGACGAGCACTACCCCGGGGAGAGCGGTGCGTGGTGCCCCCCCCCCGCACTCCCGTCGCTCACGATCGAGGTCTTTGGTGCCACACGCGGCCGCCTGTAGTCCGACGCCGTGTGGGGGGCAGCACCGGCGCGGCTTGGCGGATCACCGCACAAATGCTGCGACAAACTCGCTTCCCGTAGGCCGTCGAGGAGGTGCCCCGTGCCCTGGCTCGCCAGGAGACGGCGGTACAGCCGAATGTGGACTCCACCTGTGCCGTCTGTAGGAGATAGACTGCTTCTCTCTCACGCTTTTGGTTTTTCTCCGGATACTCTGGTTACCTCCCAGATTTAAAACGCTCATTAAATGGCCGATAACACCATGATATATAGAGGACCACAGAGCTTGGGCGATTGCCGCGTGACTGCCTTCCCGCTTGTCTGTGGTTCCTCGTGCCTTGGCGTTTCTCTCTCTCTATAAGAATGAGAGAGTCCCATGCGGTGGCGTGTTACAAGTTAAAATGATTCCGCTTGTTTACCCAGGAGGGTCCTGCCGAGTCTTCGCAGTAGGAGGTCGATGCTGCTGTTGTGCGTGATCCCCATTGATTAATTTACAGGGAATGTTTCAGCATTGGGATGTTTTTGTCCGATACCAGTTACACACGTCGTGTGACTTTTTTTTTGCCATGGGAGGAAACCAGACAATTTGGAAGAGACCCATGGAGAACAGGGAGGAGAACTTGCAAACTGCACACGAGAAATGGTTGATAACGATAACAATAGTAATCATCATAATATAAAAATCCATTTACTTTGTCAATTTTATCAGGGCCAACGATAACGATGCCGCCGATGATTGCCAATAATGGATGTCTTGCCGTGCCAGATGATGATGAGGACGATGAGGACGACGACGATGAGGAGGATGAAGATGAGGATGAGGATGCCGTGGGCGAGGACGACGAGGAGGATGAGAATGACGTCGGCCTGGAATATTTGGCACGGGAGAACCTTCAGGTGCGTGTCGGAGGAGTCGTCACTCTGTCTGAGTTCCACGAGTGTTTGTGGAGCGTGGAGTGTTTGAATGCAGAGTGTTTGTGGAGCATAGAGTGTTTGAATGTAGAGTGTTTGTGGAGCATAGTGTTTGAATGTAGAGTGTTTGTGGAGTGTAGAGTGTTTGTGGAGTGTTGGTTGAGCCTTATAATTGTCTCTGCCCGCTTAGAATCCAGGGGGTGCTATGCATACAGAAGATCATCGATTTTAAAATAGCTTTTATGACATTGTGTTTTTAAGTGTTGTGTTTATATTTTTTCGTGTTTTTAATTTGTTTACTGTGAAATTGGCATAAATATACATACACAGACAAAAATAAATATCCCGTAAAAAGTTACCGTGTTAACTCTACCATACTTACAACTCCAATCTCGAAAATGTATAGGGGTGCAGTATTTTCATTGTTCAAGTTTTAATATGTAATATTTGACACTGAATTCAAACGTAGCTACTTTGTCACGCAAATGGTGCTGATTGCCGGACTGGTTACAGCCTTTGGAGAGGTTTTGCCGGTTTCGCCGGATCAGCCCGGGACCGCCGGATAATGTTAGAAGCCGGATAATCGCATGCCGGATAATTATCAATGCTTAACTGTAATATCGTTTGAACGGCGGTGCACAAATGGGAGAATGTAAGAGTCTCACCCGCTTGTGACCGTGGTCACATGACCGGGCGCTGCCCCCACTGCGCGCTCACACGGAGGGGGGGGGGGCCACGCACACGCTACGTGTCGAGCAACGCCCCGGTGCCATTTGGAGTCCATTAGCGGACTCCATGCACAGCTATTGTGTTCTGTCAGTTGCTTCTCGAATGCTGTGCAAAGGAGAGTCTCGGGCCCACCTATGGGGGTTCTAGGCGTAGACACGCACGCGCCCATTTAAAAAAAAGCACGCATTTTAGGCCTTGGTGATTTATTTTTAAATTATGCATTCGTGTGACACTGATATAATCACTGGATGTCCTGTCCATCCACAGGATGACGAGGATGATGGAGAGTACAAATTCAAGGACGAAGACGAGGAAGAGGAGGATGATGAGGATGGTAGGGGCCCAGTGTGCTCTGTGCCGGCGGCTTGGGAGTTGGCGACCGTGTCCCTAGAATTGAGATAAGGGATGGGCTTCACACCGCTGTCATTTGTGTACGATGATGAGATTAGATTACGACCGCTGTTTGAGATGATGGGATGAACTTACGGTACTGTCAGAGATGATGGGATGAACTTAAGGTGCTGTTGAATAATTAAATTAACTTAGAACATGATTGTTTTTTTACCCTTTTATCTGGCAACAAAACCGACACCTTTTTTACAAGGAGTCATGTTTGCATAGACCACAATACCTGCAGTCATAATGCAAACAAAAAACATAACTCTGATAATGCATGCACTGTCCTTGAAGTTGATTGGTCCACACCCGAGATAGCTTTCCTTAGAGCCTAGTCTCACATGGTATTGGACCAGATGACACCAAAAGGCGCATCGCATCATCTCTAACAGCAGTTTTGTTGCCAGATAAAAGGGTAAAAAACCAATTATCATATTTCTTACTGGCAAAAGAGGTTCCAATGGTGAACTTAGAACAGTCAATCTCTGCTGGAGATAATGGGCTGAACCGACGGTAGCTCATTTACGCCGTAGCCTGACGGGGTACACGCTCACGACTGCCGCTCTCGTTTGTTTTTGCATCAGATGAAGAAGGGGAAGATGGAGCCAAGGGGGAGAAGAGAAAGCGCGCCCCGGACGACGAAGGTGAAGACGACGACGACGATGACGACGATGAAGAGGATGAGTGAAAGCCGGCATGCGTTGGCGTGTCGGTGGGCAAGGAGGTGCCGGGCGAGGGGGGGGTGGGGGGTGGGCTAGGGGCTGGGTAGTCGGGTGACGTGCGTGTGTGTGTGTGTGAATGGGGGAGTGAAGCTTTAGGCCGAACTGTGTTTTGGAAACTGCACCCGTTTTTAGTGAATCCCCCTGTGGAGCTGCACAGTCGAAATACAATCACGCAATCAATGGAGGATCGTAACAATTTGGCGAAATGCACGGCTGAACCGTTGACTTTGCAATTCGAAAGCACTGCATCGTGGCATTGGTAAGACGCCGGTTCCGTGGTGGTCCGTGTACACGCCGGTTCTCACCGTAAACGGGCAGAACCATCGCGGCCGCACGGTCGGTTCGGTGAAAAGTCGAACCAGCCTCCGTGACCTTATTCGGGTGATGTGCGATCGGAATAACTGAGTATCGGAATGTCTCAACAATTGATCGGCAGCAGTACAGGGACTACTCTACTTACGAACGAGTTAGGTTCTAGAGGTTTGTTCGTAAGTCGATTTGTTCGCAAGTCCAACTTTACTCCTATCGATTCCAAACACGCTGTACGATGTGTACACTAAACGTGTGTAATGGCTTTAAAAGTTGTGTAATCTCCTGTAGATGTAGATGCCACCACCGCCAACTATTGCGGGGCGGTTGAACTTACGATTGTTGGTCCAAACAGGCAACTGGACTTAGAGGCGGGTTTGTTCGTATCACTGATAGTTTGTAGAGGGGTCCTTGTCGCCAGTTGTTCATGTTTAACGGAACACGTGCAGCGATGTGAATGTTTTCAACATCCATTGTGCGCCGTGACGGGGCCACCACGAGGGGGCATCGCTGGACAAATGACACACTTGGATACCGAGATTGAGAATCTTTTTTTTTTAAACGGTTAACAGTACTTTCATAATTAATGCTTATTACACATGAGTTAATGAGTATTGATTACAAATTAAAAGGTGTCTTTTAACTGTTTTAATTAAAAAAAATAGTTTCTTCCCTGGGGACTCTAAACCTGGTGTCCTCCACGTGTACAGCCAGGCCCCTGCTCGACTGTGAGGCAACGCATCCTTGCCATGTTTGTCTCTCCACATGGCAATTCAGAGTCTTCTTTTACACCCTTCCCATCGGCCACCCAGGGCCCTGTACGCCTGCATCATCATGCAACGTCTGCCGATTGGGAAACCGGTTTTAGTCACAAATTGGATTTATTTATCGTGGAGGAGGAATCCGATGAGCTGTGAAGCTCTTTTTTACAGATGTCCAGCAAAGGGGAATGGGTCTGCGAGTTACATCGACAAACAATACAACAACAACAACAAAAACGATGTAAGAGCAAGACGGAGAAAAGGTTAAGCAAGTCGCTAAAATTTAATACAGAGTATCGAAGTATACATTTCACGAATATATAAATCCCCGCCGGTCATTGTCAATGCCAAACGCAAGCTTCATAAAGTCTTAACGATAAATAGATGCCTCGGTGAGCGTGACGTTTATTAAAACAACCACGGGACATTTTTGAGAATTACGCGATGTAGTATTATTATGCGATGACTGGATCGGCCGCACGTTTGTGTGGCGGAGTAAAGAGGGACGGAACGCGCGGGGTGGACTCGACGGTGGCGCGGAACTGGCGGCGCGACGCGTGCGGTGGGTCCCGTGATGCCCGGGGGCGGTGCACCCCCAAGCAAAGCGCCTGGCAAGGCCGCAGCGCTGCAGTCGGGAGGAAGAGGCTGGGAGACTCCGCTCCAGGGAGACCATTGGAGTGTTGTCACACGGGACCAACGAGCTATCGATGCAACCTCACGAGACACTTTTTTTGCACTTGCCATACCAAACCTTCCATCGCTCGTGCATCCCGCGTCTCCCTGTGCCTCCTTACCGCATTCCCTGCTATCGTGGTCTTTTTGTTCCCCTCGCCCCCCGTCCTTATCCGACGTTTAATTGTGCTGCCCGTGAATCAGAACGTCTGAAATTCCCTTCTTCGTGACTATATTTCGGTCGGTGACATGTAGAATTGTGCAAATCCTATAGAGGTAAAAAAAAACAGAAAGCGAGAATTCCCATTCAAGAGACTGAAAATCACATGTGTAGGGGGGGGGGGGGGGGCTGTTAAACTGAACTAAGGGTTTCACAGTGTGACACTTCGGCTGCATTAACACGAAATCCAGAACTGGCCGTGTACTTTCATTTATTTGACGGGTCATTTTCAGAATTTGCCCAGGAAGCAGGACTACTAGTTAGGAGCCGTCCATAAATGATGTCACGCACCTAGGGGGGGGGGGAGGGTGGGGTCAGACATTTCTGACGCCGTGTGACGAGGGGGGGGGGCAAAAATCGTCCAAAATCACGTGACGTCATTTATGGACGGCCCCTTAATTACGGAACCGTGTCACCTGAATGTGACTCTGAAATCCTGGCACCGTCGTGTTGAACTCCGCGTAGCCCCTGTCGTCCTTACCCCCGCGCCTCTGATGAGCACGGTTGGCTATGTACGGTGCAAAAGAAGTCCAACGTACACGCGTACACACTCCGCATGCGGTTGTTTCCGTCGCCGCCCGTGCAGTCGGCGTCGCACCACGCGTCCCCCGCTGCGGTGCTCGCCCTCGCCCCGTGTGTTCCCCTCAGCACCTACAGCAACACTGTCGGTGACCACGTGTGCGTGGTCTTGCCTGGTGGACACCTCGTGCCCACGACTTGTTCACCAGCGGTGAGCGTGCCCACCGCTTGGAGCGCCGCGGTGGCGAGGCGTTATCTCCCTCGTCTGGTACGCAGGAGGTCGTGGGTTCGATTAAGACCCTGACGCCTGCTGCTGTATATTTGGAGTTTGCGTGTCTCCCCGTGGTCGCGTGGATTTTTTTTCTCCAGGGCCTTGAGTTTATCGCTCCAAATTTAGAATCGACGCGCGTTTAGAGAATTTGGCTGCTTTCAATTTCCGTGTGATAATCCACTTTGTTTGGCTATCATTTGTGGCCACTACTCTTGTGAAAAAGAGCTACATAGCTCGATGGGTTTTACCGGGTCAAATAAAACAGACGAGGGTTGACGCTAACGGTGCAGTTTTCATGGGTCTGGTTCCCAACACGAGCTCCCCAGAATGTAAACACAAGTAGACATTAAAATGTTAAGTTTTTGAGACGTGTTGAGTTAAATATAAAGTGTGCTTTTTTTTTTCTTCTAAACTTGGGTTTGTCTTTTGCTGTGTAGGCCAGCTCGTGCACCCCCACGTTCTTAGCTCGCGAGTGTTTTGTAGTATTCTGTTAATCAAGCAGGCGAACCTCTGCTCCGCAATGGTCCCGAAGTTCTGTTTCTGTAATCGTGCCCAGAATTGTGCGCATCCCCCGAGAAAACAATCGCCATTCGCACCGGGGGTCCGTCGAGTGATGGTAAATCAGCTCCTGTTTTGGTATATCTTGTTCGGTAGCCGTTACTTCAACAATTGGGGGGGGCGGGGGGGGAAATATATCGCTGAACGATTAAGCGCGGAATACTGCTGCAGTCATTCTCGACCACTAACCCCTCCCGATTAAAATGTTAATTGACCAAATACGTTGGGGCGTAATCCGTCTTCGTCGTTTTTCGGTTCAACTCGCTCTACCTTTTGTCGCTGTGATGACGCAAATTCTGGTGTCCCCTAACTTCATCCTGGCAAGCGTGCCGCCCCAATGTGAACCACCCAGCACTGGGAGGCTCTGCTGACGTGAGCGACCGAGGGAGGTTCAAAGCCATATCCCACGTAATGATGGAGTTTGCGGTACCCCGTGTTGATTGGCGAATCCCAGTCAGCCTGTTCCAGAACAATACATTTATACCGTTTTGTTGACAGTACAGTTTATATATATTTTCATGTTAAGGTTGAATTGTCTGGCGGCGTTCAAGTTGTGTCCACCTTGGAATTGCTTATAAACTGCTTTAATAAAACATTTTGGATATACACTTTCCGGAGTTTTGCTTTGTCAATAATATGCACGTGTATTTAGAGTGTGCTCTCCTACAATGCGGTAGTTGCGTTCCTGAAGTACACCGCGTTATGGACAAAATATATAATATAGAGCTAAAGCACAGTCCGCGGTGACACGTGAGATGCGTACGCAGGCTGAACAAAGACTTTAAGCACGTGGGTAGCATCTAGAAGTATCCAGCAGCATCCCACCTCGTGCGATGATGCTTCGCCGAGGCAGCCACACGACCGATTCTTCCTCCTCGCGCGACGTAGTTTCATTCGCTCAATCGCGTTGTATCCAATTCGTGTCCGCGTTATGAAAAAATGTGTTCCCTCATATGTTCATCGTGTTATCCAATTCGCGTTATGAAAGCTACGCGTTGTAGGAGGACAGATTGCATAGTCATTATTTTTTTGTTTGTGTGTTATAGACGCGTCGTTTGGCACGCTGGCCACCGATGATGCGGCTGTGGCCCCATCGTTTACAAAAAGTGACGGAGGTGAGCACGCCCGGGGGTGGAATCGGCGGAAGGGAGCGTGGGCACCGAAGTGAGACGAAGGCTTGATGATCGCATCGCCGAAGGAGGCTCGTTCAGAATCGGACGAATGTTTGCCTCTTCTCATCCACGGCAATGGCTATGCAGCAAGGGACGACCTCGCCGTGTGATTTATGACTAACATTGACGGATCGGGTTCGCTATCAAGACCAAGATGAAGGGATGGGAACATGTGGAAAAGAAAACGGTTCGACACACGAGACATGTCAGGGTGTAGAGTGGCAGGGGCTGATCATGTATATCGACCCGTTGACAAAAGGCCAATGAATTGTGCCGGAGGTATTGCACAAACGTGTGTTGTGTCATGGGCACAACCATATTCATGCAGGGCATCAGGGGTCACATCGTACGTATGCTCACTAATTTTAATATTCGTAACCCGGGATGTGAAAAGAAGGATCCGATGAGCTATGAAGCTCTTCACAGGTGTCCAGGAGTTAGAATGTGGGCGGTAGGGTGGTGGCACGTGCAGATTCCTGGAGACGGGCGGTGGGTGACCTTCCACTCCTGCCGACTCCTCTCTGTGATCCCCATTCGTTCTTACCCGCCCTTACTTGACATCTGTGGAAATAGCTTTATCGCTCATCGGATTCCTCCAGAATAAATCCTCTTGATTCTGATTCCCTCGCTGACTGCCCGCAACTTTCCACGATCACACGCAAATAAGTGTGTACCGATTACTAAAAGTAAGTGTGTACTGATTACTAATAATAAGTGTGCACCGATTACTAAAACTAAGTGTGTACTGATTACTAAAAATAGGTGTGTACTGATTACTAAAAATAAGTGTGTACTGATTACTAATAATAAGTGTGTACTGATTACTAAAAATAGGTGTGTACTGATTACTAAAAATAAGTGTGTACTGATTACTAAAAATAGGTGTGTACTGATTACTAAAAATAGGTGTGTACCGATTACTAAAAATAGGTGTGTACTGATTACTAAAAATAAGTGTGTACCGATTACTAAAACTAAGTGTGTACTGATTACTAAAATTAGGTGTGTACTGATTACAATTAGGTGTGTACTGATTACTAAAAATAAGTGTGTACTGATTACTAAAACTAAGTGTGTACTGATTACTAAACATCCCACTGGTAATTGGTGACCGGCTGTTTCTGATCTCTCAGAAGCGACTGGAGCTATTCTATTTTACATCATCGTCTAAATTGACAAACTAATTACTTTAAAACTGCTTTTTGTGTTCAGTTTCTTGTCCTTCCCCCGCACCCCCCATTAGCGCGGTTGGCTACGCACGGTGCAAAATAAGTTCAACGTACACCCGAGTTTAGAAACCCGATCACCGGTTACCATTATAACGACCCTAACGTCACGAGCGGACAACACGGGCGGTGAAACGAAGAACGTGGCCATGTGCGCACGTGGTTTCTTGGCTGGGTTGGGCCCCGCAGGGCTCGTGGGGGTTCACGGATGAGCGGGGGAGGAGGATGGGGAGGAAGAGGAGGGGGAGGGAGGGAGGAGGAGGTGGAGGGAGGAGGATGGGGAGGAGGAGGGGGAGGAGGAGGGAGGGGGGGAGGAGGGAGGAGGGGGAGGAGGAGGAGGGAGGGGGGAGTGTGTGCGGCTGTCACAGCTGATTACCGCCGGGAGAGAGCGGCAGCGAGCTGGGCCCGCCTGCATTGACGCGAGTGTGGGAACTCCCAGGACGCAACACGCCGCACCAGAGCCGGGTCTCATTTTTTTTCTTGGCAAAGTGATTGTTTGCTGGTCACTATGATGATGGTGATGATAATAAAACCACACAGCAGCCATTCTCGTGGGTGGCCGTCGAAGAGGAGCCGTAGACCCCGGCTCGCCAGGGGAAGGCGGTAAAACAGCCAACACGTGAACTCCCACCTGTTCCATCTGTGAGGGGGGGCGGGGGGGGGGGGTAGAGTGTTTCACCCATCGCGGGTAAATAACAACCAGCTTCACAGAGACTCATCATTCGCAGGCCTCTTTGCTAAGCCACGCTGCGTCTCGGGAGGAACCTTCCTGCTTAAAAAGCGCGGTGCATTCTACGCGAATTATTTTTTTACAATTCGCTGAATAAGCACGGTAGAATTATTGTTACTGGCGAAGGCAGTGGAGGCATTCACATCGGAACCCGAATTGACGCGCAGGCCACCCAGGCAACGTTGCTCCGGGAGATGCTCACGTGGAAGGGTTTTGGGGAGCCGTGGATCGATTCCCGCTCAGGACCATGTGTACGTATGTTGAACTTCTTTGGCACCGTACGTAGCCGACCGTGCTAATAGGAGGCACACCGGTGACGATTATCTGAACCGGTACTGGGCCTCTCCTTGGTCGACTCAGCCTCAAATGAGTACCCAATGCGGTGTGTAAACACCGTCACTCGGGAGACAAAGGCGGCCGGGCGCGGTGCTGGCCACCCACCCCCTCGTGTGCCACAGTGCCGGCCTTCATAGGTGCCACTCGCTAACAGCACTTGCCCCGACAGTCTGCTAGAGGCCACACCGGGGGCCCTTTGTCTGTGGTAGGGTCGTCCACGTGCACATCGCCTGCCTTCATGGCTCCCGGCCATCGCCCCATCCGCCGCATTCACTCGAACCCACGGCTCTGTGAAGCCCGCAAAGTTAATGAGAAGGGATTTGAGTTTTTCACCCGCCGCGCTTTTCATATCAAACTCCCCCTGCCCAGCCACCCCCGACGCCACCCCCCGCTCCAATTCCTCAGCTCCCCCACCCCGGCTCGAGCCCCTCCACACCCACGCGCTTTGTGAGCCAGGCGGCAGCAGATTGGAGCTAGGAGCCCTGCTTTGCGCCTCGTGGTTGTGGCTCGCCGCAGGAGAAATTCTCAAAAGTGATAACGGTCCTCCTCCTCCCCCCCCCTCCTCCTCTCCCCTCCTCCTCCCATCCCCCTCCTCCCCCTCCTCCTCCCCTCCTCCGCTCCTCCTCCTCCCCTGTTTGTGTGTGTTTTTGTGTGTGTGTTTGTGTGTTTTTGTGTGTGTTTTTTTGTGTGTGTTTGTGTGTGTTTTTGCCCCCAAATCCGCCGACTCTCTTCTCTTGAACCTCGCTCGTTCTCAAACTTCTCCCATTCTCTATCCTCTCTCGTTCTCGACTTGTCCCCTCCCTCGTTCTCTACCTATCTTCTGCTGTATATTTGGAGTTTGCTTGTCTCTCTCCGCGTGTCTCTGGTGTGGATCAATCAGTTTCAAAGACAATGAATATGTTATCAGAGTATGTTTTTGGTTTGCATTCTGACCACAAGTATTGTGGTTAATGCAGACATGATTCCTTGTAAAAGGTTTAAGTTTGGTGTTTTAACATCTTGACACCTGTTTTGTTGCCAGAAAAAGGGGAAACCCTATTCTCAAATAGACAAATGTTATTGTTGAAACGGGTGTACAAGAATATGGGTAAACCGTATGGGTTGACAGATATGGTAACCACTTCGTTGAGATATCATTTGTGGCCAGGTCGCTTCTGAAAATAAGAGCTACACGGCTCAGTGGGCCTTAACCTGGTAAAATAACACATTCCTGCGGAGGGAGCTGGTAGGAACGTTGGGTTGCTCGGTCAATGGCCAGGGTCAACGGCGGCGTGGTGTTATTCCACAAATATGGCCGACTGTGAGGGCGGGCACAAGCTGGCGTGAGTAGGTTAAACGTTGAGTTTTATAAGGGCACCACGCGGTGACCAGCCCCTCCCCTCCCCACCCAGCCCCACCCCTCCCACCCCCCACCCAGCCCCTCCCTCCCCACCCAGCCCCTCCCTGCACGACGGACGGACACAATAATCCCCTGTGGGGTGGTGTAACCAGGAGGTTCCTACCAGTAAAAATTGTAGTTGCAAGACGTCTGGTCAGCTTGGAAGAGTGGAGAAAATATCCATTAGAGCTCCCTCTAGTGGAGTCCTCTAGTGGAAGCCATCGGCCCTCTTCATGGCCAAAGAACAACACAACGCCAGATGGGCCCTGGGAAAATGAATCATCCAACTGAACATTTGGAAACTCGGGCGATCACAATGAAACCCATAACATTGATTGTCCTTGCGATCCAAGAAACCCACGCATTGGAAGCCCTAGGACGTGCCATTCGCTACCACAACCACCAATGTAACGTGGATGTCTGTGCGGGTGCTACCCATAACTTCGTAATAAACAAACGGAAAGTGATATAAACCCCATACCCGTCAACCCACACGGGTTACCCGTAGTCTTGGGCAGGGAAATTGAGTTGTCATGTCCATACAGCGTACAGCCGTTTCAATAGAGGCAAGAAAATGTGTCCACTTGTTTGTGTTTCTCCCTTGTGATGGGACTTTGTATGATGGACGTTGAGATGTATAATGGCACGGGGTGACCGATAAGGTCTGAGTTGGTCTGTAATAAGGCAGGGCACTGACAAGGGGTTGAGAGGTATGAAACTCTAACTTAATGCACAATCCTGAACACGATTAATGCACAGTACGTAA